TTTAATTTATATTAAATCCATTGGTTTAAACTATTTGTTTTAAAAAAATTAAATATTTAAATTGATAGCAAACATCAAATTAATTTATTCGGGTTTTTAGACATCTAAATTACTATCAAGCATTAAAATCTATTTATCATTTGCTTAAAAATCATCCTATTTCTAAACATCCTCTCCCTCTTCTATCATTTACCTTTTCTTCATTCTCCCTCCATTTCTAATATCACTTGTTAACTTAACATCTAAATAATGTCAAGGTCTGGTCTTCCTCCTCCCACATTAAAATAATTGATGGATATGAAATTAATTTCCTATTCATTCAATGATAATTTTATTATCACTTATTACATCTCTGTTAAATTACAAAAATTACACTAAAATAAATTTTAATTTCATTTTTCTTTTCATTTCATTTTTGGAAGTGCCACCTAGATGATCTGGCATCCTTTAAAATTTAGACTCTGATCAAACAAATTATTAGAATGGTAGGATGAAGTGGTCTAGTTTTTCTTTTGGAGATGTATATATATATATATATATATATATATATATATATATATATATGGGTCAGTGGTGAATTATGGGTAGTCTATTTTCACAGGCGAGACTGAAGTCGAAACATTTGTTTATTTATTTGGGTTAAATTATTTTGCTTGTTTTTAGGATTTTTTCTTATCTTATATTTAGGGGTTTTTATTTTTTAATCCAGTTTATATAAACTTATTTAATAGTTTTGCTTTGGTTTGGGAAGATAATTAAAGCTATTTATTCAATTTTTGGGTTGATTGTTTGTAGAACATTCTAACTATTAATTTGGTGGGAGCAGTTTTAATTTGTTTTGATTACTTCATTTATTTATTTGGTTTGATTATCTTTATTTGTTTTTTCCTATCAAGAACTTTATCAAACAGAAGTTTGTTAGTTTATTTATTTATTTGGATGAATTTAGATTAATTTATTTTACTTGTCTATTTTTTTAATTATTTATTTATTAATGCAAATTTTAATTTAAATACACTTTTTGGTATTCGATTTTTTAAGGGCAACAAATTTTTTTTAATTATATAACAAATATAACAGATGTTTTTGGTCTGATTTTTATAGTCTAATCTTTTGGTCCATAATAAATTTGTTAATTTGTTTATTATTTACTTTATTTATTTGGGTTCAAAAATTTTGTTTTTTTTTTTTTTTTTTTTTTCTAAGCTGTGTGATTTGGTAATTTGTTTGGGTTAATTTATTTTTACTTATTTTATTGTCATTTTGTTTATTTACATTTTTTTTCAAAGATTTTCATTTTTAAAAAACATATTCAAAATTTGTTTTCAAAAAAATATCCAAATGTTAGCCAATATCTTTTTTTAAATTTATTTGGTCTGGGAAGGTAATGATAATTTTTTCCTCCAAGCAAAATTTGCACCTTTTGATTGGTTGTTCAACTAATGATCTTTTCACATTTTCCAAGAATATTTTGGTGTGATGTGTGAACTGTTTTTCAATGTTCCTTTTATATTTATTTGTTTTGATTTGAATTTATCCCAAAATTTAGAATAAAAATATTTCTTTTATATATATATATATATATATATATATATATATATATATATAAAAAGAAAGAATATAAGATATATAATTAATATGTTCTTATAGATAAATTTGTTTTACAAAAAAAAATTTAAATTATACATAAATGATATGAAAATAATTTGTTTTAAAAAATTAATACATTTACGTAATTGATAGCAAACATTAAAATTTTAAACATACAAATTTCTAAAATCCAGCATTAAAATTTATTCTTTAATTATAAATGTTTTTAAAAATCCAGACAACATGCATTTAACCCTCTCCAGATTTCATTTTCCTTTTACATCCCTACCCCACCAAAATATCACTTCCATTAAGTTATACATCAAAACAGACATAATGAACACCTCCTCCCCCCCTTGTCTGGTTGAATTAGATTTATCTGTAACCTTGGAAATCTAATTATGATTTTTAACTATCCCTTTAAAACCCAGTAATTTTAAATTACAAAAAATTCGCACTTGAGGATGAAATTTCATTTTCGTTTTAATTTAATTTTGGAATTAAATTCGGAGCTATCATCTACCATTTTTTAAAACATAGTTACTCTTGTGAAATAAAAAAAAAAATATATTTTAAAATTAATTTATAATATTTTATTTATATATATATATATATATATATATATATATATATATATATATGTCCCTTGAGGTGACAGGCTGTTTAATCATATGGATGGGAGACCTGAATGGCCAAGAGTGTTGTTTTTCTCATCATTTATATATCAACGGCAGTCATCAGCATTCTGGTATAGTCTATTTTGTCCATTTTTGACATTGTCCAACCATTTTTTTATTTATTTATTTGGGTTAAATTATTTTGCTTGTTTTTATTTATTTTTTCTTATCTTATATTTATCTTATTTTTATTTTAATCAGCTTGTTTATGTTGCTTATTTAATAGTTTTGTTTTGGTTTGGGAAGATAATTAAAGCTATTTATTCAATTTTGGTGTTGATTGTTGTAGTTTATTCTAACAATTATTTTGGCGGGAACAGTTTTGAATTTGTTTATTACTTCATTTATTTATTTGGTTTGATTATCTTTACTTGTTTTTTCTAATGGTTAATTTATCGGGATCAGTTTGTTAGTTTATTTATTTATTTGGATGAATTTAGATTAATTTATTTTACTTGTTTTTTATTATTTATTTATTATACTGCATATTTTAATTTACACTTTTTGGTATTCGATTTTTAAGTAACCTAGTATTTTTTTTTATCGTTATATAACAGTTATAGCGATGTTTTTGGTCTGATTTTTATAGTCTAATATTTTGGTCATAATGGTTTGTTAATTTGTTTATTATTTATTTTATTTATTTGGGTTCATTGATTTTGTTTTTTTTATTTTTTTATTTTGTTTTGTCTATTCTAACGGGTGTGATTTGGTAATTTGTTTGGGTTAATTTATTTTACTTATTTTATTGTCATTTTGTTTATTTATTTATTTATTTTTTTCAGTTTTCGATTTTTAAGTAACATAGTAAAAATGTTTTCATGTCTGCATTTTGAGATGAGCTCGGATTGTTTATTTAATAATTTATTTTGTTCTGGGAAGGTAATGATAGCTATTTTTTCCTCCAAGCAAAATTTGCAAGATTTTGATTGGTTGTTGTAGGCTGATGATCTTTTCCTTATTTTCCAAGATATTTTTGGTGTGATGTATGTTTTGTTTTCAATGTTCACTTTTATATTTACACACACACACTATCTCTGATATTGAGCACTTTATCCCATAAATATAGCACACCTTAAGAGTATATTTCTTTATATATATATATATATATATATATATAAAAAGAAAGAACAGTAAGATATATAATCCGGTGTTCTTATAGATATTTTTATTTTTACAAAAAAAAAAAATTGTTACCTAATAATATACATACTTGATGCGAAAATAATTCTACATACTGTAAGGGATTCTAATACATGTACTTGTTCTTAAAAGAAATATAGTATATTAAAAATTAAAAGTGAAAATATTTTCAAATCGTAGTTAAATAAAACGTATTCTAACCTAAACACCCACCAAAAATCTTTAAATATACAAATAGAAAAATATGCCGTTTTTTTAATTTTTGCTGTTAACAATAAATTTTTTTTAAAAATCCAGACGACATGCATTTAACGGATGTCAGATTTCATTGAAGAATACATCCCTACCCACTACCAAAACGTAACTAATAACGGATACATCAAAATACAGACATAATGAACACGCAAACACCCCTTGTCTGGTTGAATTGGATTTCTCTGTATCCTTGGAAAAATGAATTATGATTTCTGCTGTGTCTTTAAAACCCAGTAATTTTAAAAGTTACTCCAAAATTCACTTGAGGATGAAATGGAACTAATGTCTTTGATTTAATTAAAAAATTAAATTCGGAGCTATCAGCTTCCATTTTTGAAACATAGTTAGAATTGTGTAGCGAAAAAAAAAAAACTATATTTCAAATCAATTAATTTATAACATATATATATATATATATATATGTATCTCCCCTTGACTTATGTAATCATATGGGAGACCTGAATGCAGAAGCAATATTGAATCTCATCATCATGGCCTATCAACGGCAGTCATCAGCAATTCTGGTATAGTCATACTTGTCCATTCTTTGACATTGTCCAACCAGTTTTTGCATTGATGTTCTCTCCAACATCCACCTTCAATGGTGCCTTGCATTATGATCTTGCACAGACTGTCATGCATATATACATATATATATATGTAAGAAAATATATGGATATAAATCCGACAGTATGAAAGAAAAATACAGAAAAAACAAAATTCTGAATATGCATTTATGTAGTATTAATGTTAAAATAAAATCGAAAAACAGACGTTTAGGTCTATTTAAGACCATCTTCATGGACATTTTCATTTAAAAATAATTAACATTAAACAACTTATAAAAAAAAAACACAAAAGAAAAAAGACAAAGAGCCCAACTAATTCAAACAGATAACTGAAATTTTATAAAAATCAAAAAAAACAAAGAAAAAACTGTTTAAATATGATCACGTAAGTCAAAATTCAAAAAAAAAGTGGGCGAAAACAAAGTTAAAAAAAGAAAAAGAAAAGATGATTTCAAAAAAAAAAAAAAACAAAAAAACGATTGAAAAAACAAAAAACAGTTCAAGAAAAAAAAAAAACCGTTGAACTGTTTATAAAAAATTTTTAAGAAAGAAAAAAGAAAAACCAAGAAAAAACAAAAGAAGAAAGAAAAATCAAAAAGAAAAAGAAAAAAGCAAAAAGAAAAAAAAAGATCAAGAATATTTTTTCAATTCTCCAATTTCTTTGTTTTCTGAAACGACTGTGAACTCAGGTAAGAAATCTCCAAATAAAAAGCGAAAAAGTAACATTTTCTTAAAGGAAAACACAAATTAAATAAAATATACTGACAGACATCGGACATATCCACCAAATTGTATTCATAATCGCTGTAGGTGTCATAATCATCATACATATCCTCATAGCAATCGTCGAACCAGTCATCAAGTTCCTCAGAGGAGGACAAGCCATCATAATAGTCGATATTTCCATCATAAAACATACCTAAAAAAAAAAAAAAAAAAAATGAAAATAAGAAAAAGCTCCCTGCAGAAAAAAAGTTTTTTTCAAAATTATTACAGCGGGCATTTGATTTCATGTAGAAGTGTTAACCCGAAATAAGAAATAATTGGGCCAGCTTGAATTTGGGCCACATGGGAAGGCACCCTGATAAAATGAGGTCTGACACGAAATGAGGAAATTGCATCAAGTTTCTCCACTGACAAATGCACGTGGGAGAGAGACGTGGAGACAGAGAGAAAGAGAGAGAGAGAGAGAGACACACACACACACATACGGAGAGGGAGAGACACAAAGACAGAGAGAGAGAGATATATATATAGAGACATGGAAACAGCAACACACGGAGAAAGAGAGACAAAGAAAGAGGCACGAACAGACAAGGGGAGAGAGAAAAAGAGAGAAACACAGAGACGGAGAGGGAGAGATACGGAGAGATAGAGAGAGATACGGAGAGAAAGAGAGAGAGAGAAAGGAAAAGAGAGAAAGAGAGAGAAAGAAAAAGAGAGAGGTTCGGGGAGAGAGAGAGGCTCATGGAAGGAAAACACAGAGACATAGACAGGTAGACATGGAGACGGAGAGAGACAGGCAGACATGGAGACAGGGAGGGAGACAGGCAGACATGGAGACAGGGAGGGAGAGACATGGAGACAGGGAGGGAGAGACATGGAGACAGGGAGGGAGAGACATGGAGACAGGGAGAGGGAGGGAGGGAGAGAGAGACATGAAGAGGGAGGGAGAGAGAGAGACATGAAGAGGGAGGGAGGGAGAGAGAGACATGAAGAGGGAGGGAGAGAGGGAGACATGAAGAGGGAGAGAGACATGAAGAGGGAGGGAGACATGAAGAGGGAGGAGAGAGAGACATGAAGGGGAGGAGAGAGAGAGACATGAAGGGGGAGGGAGAGAGACATGAAGGGGAAGAGAGACATGAAGAGGGAGAGAGACATGAAGAGGGGAGGGAGGGAGAGAGACATGAAGAGGGGAGGGAGGGAGAGAGACATGAAGAGGGAGGGAGAGAGACATGAAGAGGGAGGGAGAGAGACATGAAGAGGGAGGGAGAGAGACATGAAGAGGGAGGGAGAGAGACATGAAGAGGGAGGGAGAGAGAAGAGAAGAGGGGAGGGAGACATGAAGAGGGAGGGAGAGAGAGACATGAAGAGGGGAGGAGAGAGAGAAGAGGGAGGGAGAGAGAGACATGAAGAGGGAGGGAGAGAGAGACATGAAGAGGGAGGGAGAGAGAGAGAGACATTAAGAGGGAGGGAGAGAGAGACATTTAGACAGAAAGAAAAATCCTTATATCACTGATACTTTCAATGCTCATCTTTGCCTTTCTTATTTTGCCTTCTGTTCTATTTATCTCCTTTCACCTTCCATTTAAGGAAACCTTAAACAGGAATCCTTTCTTTCATCCAGATAGGATCATTTTGCTCAAATCTCACACAGGCCATTCTTCCAATGGAATTCAGCTTCTAAGAATTGTCACTTTTCTGCCTTTATTGTTCTGTTCAAGAACTGAAATCGTCCTTACAGATTCCGAATTTCTTGTAAAACTCAAAGTCACTTACGTTTATAACGACGTTTTAACATTGACTCAATGTTGTTCGTGTTGCTGACAATCACGAGATTAGTCGCAAACTGATCCTCTTTGTCAATTCGTTCCTCATCTGTATGCCATTCTGATTTCTCATATGCGGTGCCTAAAAATTAAAAAAACAAATTGTAACAGTAAAAGCAAATTTCAATGTCATACCATTGTAAAAACAAATTTCAATGTTTTTTTTTTTTTTACAAAACACCCTCCAACCCATGTTGCATTTCAATTCTCGAAGTTTTTTGCACCGACAGCTTTACCAAGAGGACAAACAAACAGCATGTTGATGAATAAGAACACCCACCCATATAATAAAATCAATTTTTAATTAAGGGTTTTGCCTGGTTTCATGTTTGGGCTTGCACTTAAATAAGTCAGCTGTATTAAGTTACAGGGTCAAACTCTCTCACATTAGAAGGAACCCGGACGAAACAAACAAACAGCATGTTGATGAATAAGAATGCATATCTTGTTTCTCATATAATAAAATCATTGTTTTAATCAAGGGTTTTGACCATGTAAAACTGGCCTTCTATGTTTGGGCCCACGTGGGGGACAGCTAAATATTGTAAAATAAGTCTATTGCTGCAACGTCACTTGTACAAATCACAATATCACTTGTTCAATTCACCGTCCTCGCTTTCTTCACACATCACTACGTATAGCCAACGTTTCTGTCCCCTTTTTCATGGCTCCAGAACTCTTTTATCAGGCCAACACTGTGGTTCTCCAGCCAATCAGCTTTCTTCGCTGTTATTCTCGGTTACACAGGCAAATTGCCTCCTCCAGTTCGACCAATCAGCATACGACTTGCTATTGGTGGAAGCATGCCAAACTGTACAAAAAAACCCTCATCATTGCACATACTGCTAGAATGGCTGGACGGGAGAGTAATGCCATTTTCACGAAGCAAACTTGCTGATGTCACATTCCACATGTTAAGGTAAGACCCTTATTTTCTTATACACCAGATGCAAGCCACTCTGGATCGCTTGCTTCTATGGGGCTGTTCACCACAGGGCTATAAATATAAAGTCTAGCTGAGTTAATTTCGTTTTGTTCAGGTTTCCATCACTTTTGTTATTAAATATCTCATATTGTTATAATAGAACATCTGCCAAGAATAGTGAGATGTTTTAAAAACCTGGCTGCATATTTACTGTGGATGATCTCGCAATTAAAGCACTTTCTATACATTTTCATCTTAGTAAATTACTTTCACTTTTAACTCGAGAAACATTTTTTAAAATCAAACTTATGATCAGACTCATTACAGTGAGCAACTAATGCATTTAATGCATTATTTTTTAAAAGATATCTTTTGTGTTCATATAATGTTTTATTTAAATTCCTTGAGGTTTCTCCCGTGTATTTCTTGTGGCAATCATTACAGGTGATAGAGTAAATTCGTCATTCAAGTTTTACTTGCTTATTTTCTATTGTATCTGTTATGTCTTTTATTATTTTAGAAGCAGTTGTAACAGTCCAGATAATTTCTTTTTAATTGTGATAGAGTTTGTGAGCAGAATAAAATATTTTGATTTGTTTGGTTTCTCAGAGTGATTCGCTTTTCTATTTTTGACATATTTTACAAGCCTTTTGCTTTCCATTGAATATGAAAGACATTAATGCCTTTAGATATGAGTTTAATTCGTTCCAAGACCAAGCTTGTAACTCAAAAGACATGCATCTCAAATCAATTTTCCTCAGTGAAATTAATGGGAATATTTCCGATCCATTCCAGGACACTAAAAGTCACCCTTATTTTCTTAAAACTCAACCCTATTTCTTATTTGTGAGTTTCTTACAAGAAAAGACTTGTGAATAAACAAGAAATGCAGTTTACAAACAATAAAAGAGAAAAGCCAAATTGTAAAGAAATAAACTGTAGTAAACCATGAAGTTCAGATTAGCCCTAGGCTAACAGGCGGAAAAAGAGAGAGACAGACATCAACGGCTAGCCTAGCAGCCGTTCACCCAGCCAGTCAACGACTAGCCTAGCAGCCGTTCACCCAGCCAGTCAACGGCTAGCCTAGCAGCCGTTCACCCAGCCAGTCAACGGCTAGTCTAGCAACCGTTCACCCAGCCAGTCAACGGCTAGCCTAGCAACCTTTCACCCAGCCAGTCAACGGCTAGGCTAGTAGCCGTTCACCCAGCCTGTCAATGGCTAGCCTTATCTACGATACCGAACATTAATTTTATCACTTAACTTTTAAATTTTTTTTAAACATTTTCATTTTATCCATTACTGTAACTAATTTTTTTTTAATTTTATAATTTTTTTAATTATCATCAATATAGAACACTCATACTGTCTTGCCCAATTCATTACTTGTACATCTTCTTCATGTTTCTTTATAATTTCCCGCCTTACCTCAAGTGAAATCATACATTTTGGCTCTTCACCACTGCTCTTTACACTTACTTTCTTCGGACCCATGGTGTCACTTAAGGAATTTTGCAGAATAATTGCAAAAGGACACAACACATCAGAGATTCTTCCAGAGCGAGACGAACACATGTACTGTAAGTGGAAATACTCAAGAAAGCTTGGCACTCACTGCACCAACTAGCGGATGCTTAACTGGAACTCGTTCATATCTCAAGGCAAAAAATTGGACAAACTCTGCCTCGTATCTCAAAAAACTTGTATGTCAGTATGTTTGTAATTACTGTAATTAGGATATTGGTGGAGCTTAATAGTATTTCAATGTAAATATTGAAGGCTACAAACTTTGAGTGCTCTTAAATAGAATCTAATGAATATTCCAGATTTTATTTTGTTGATATGATGAGAATAGAAATTTATGAGATCATTTTTATTTGCTGACTTGCCATGCACAAATAGTTTTAGGTTTGGTTTGGTTTATTTTGTTTTATGGCATATCAACCTCAATGGGTTATTTAATGCTGACAACATTTTTAGGATAGATTCGTATGAATAGAATATGTATTCTTTTGTTTAGATTGGTCTGGTTTGTTTCACGGCATATCAACCTCAATGGGTTATTTAATGCCGACAACATTTTTAGGATAGATTCATATGAATAGAGTATGTATTGATTGGTTTAGTTTATTTTCTTTTATGGCATATCAACCTCAATGGGTTATTTAATGCTAACAACATTTTTAGGATAGATTCGTATAAATAGAATATGTATTCTTTCATTTAGATTGGTTTGGTTTATTTTGTTTTATGTCATATCAACCTCAATGGGTTATTTAATGCCGACAAAATTTTTTATTGCTGGTAATATTTTGTTTTGTCAAAAATCTGTTTCTGGTAATATTTTACTTTAAAAAAAGTATTGCTGGTAATAGTTAACTATTTGCCCATAGCTGGGACCCTAACAGGTGCTACCACCCCGGGTCAGGGTGGATCTGGGAACACCAGCAATTAAGAGATGGTTCCACGCTTCTCAAAAGCTCCTGATCAGAGGCCTTGCTGCTGGACATAATTTAATGTCTTACTCAGGAAGAAATTAGTTTTAGGCTATTGTCACTACAGTGTAACATGGTATCTAGGGAAGGTAAAGTATTGTTTCCATTTTCATAAGTAAATTCTGTCATATGCTCAATTTTGTTTAATTTTAAGGTCTGATAAAATAGTAAACCCGCTAAAATGTAATATTTACCATGTTATAAAGAAACATGAATATGAGAACAAGAAAATTTAAATAAATATGTGCGACTAATAATAAATGCATTTATTGAGCTTTGCCATATTAATTCACTAAAACAGTTTGCAAGCATCTAGATCTACACTATTTTTTTTCTTCAAGAATTGTTAAATCCCATTTATTTAATAAATTGTTTAATTACAAGAATAATGTTTAATATCATCATCCTTTGACCTCCCTGTGGTTGGTCGGAACTTCATTAACAATCCCTTTCCACATTGTTCAGTCGTGTATTGCTGTCCTCAGAGTCCCAATGTCCAACCCTGAGACCCTTGCTATGGTGTCTAGGAAAGTTAATTTTCATGAGAAGACATTTACAGAAGGATTTTATAGGAGTAAGAAGACAATTTGCCGGTCCGTTCAGTGGCAGTGGCTGACAAGCTTTAATCATTTTTGTTTGAGCTTAAGGGAGATTGAGCACAGTTCTCTGTAAATTGTGTTTAGCGCTGCATGGGATCTCCAACTGATGTTCTAGATTTTTCTAAGTAGATTTGTAGATGTTCCATCCAGTCGTCTTTCAAGACAAGCAGGTAATGTCCAGGCTTCTGATCCATACAGTAGGTCTGGTTCAATCAATGTCCAAGAGGTTTGGACTTTTAACGAGGACGGAAGCTTCGTGTGCCAAAACTTGTGAAGTTTGTTACATGCATCCTATTAATAACATGGTCAATTCTCAAGAAAAAAGTAAATGTATAAATCCAGTTTCATCGACGTGGTGTAATGGTTAACAAGCTCATGTTGCTAGAACAATTACGACTGAATAGTGAGTTCAATCCTCACTGGGTGCTCCATACTTTTGGCCTTGTGCCACATCTAAGCTACAATGTATTTTTTTTTTTTTTTTTTTTGCAGTTACATATAGTTTGTTTGTTGAGTTCTTTGTTTAACGGAATGTCAACTGCTTATGATTGATTTAATGATAAAATTGGAGCGGGGAGCTTTGAAGTAATAAAAATATGATATATGTTATTCTGCTTTCAAAACTGAATACACGGTAATTGATACACAGCTTTTGTGCATATATTTTTGTGGACGTGATTACTAGAAGTGACAATACGTGTGTTTTATGTTGAAATTATATTTTGGAATACAGTTTGATTTCTTTAAGAAATTATAGTAGCATATCAACACCTCTATGGGTTATTTAATGGTGAAATCTAAATATATCGAACATAATTTATTTTAAACATAATTGTATGCCTTCAGCGACAGATAAAATGTATTGTTGGTCATTTTTGCTATAAATAGGTATGGTTGGTCATTTTAAAATATATAAAAATGTATTTTTATGTTTTCATGGTGTTTTGTTTTTACTAATTGCCCAGAGTAGCATTCAATAATTAAAATAAGAATTTGAGTTCATCAGAATATTAAAATAGGAAAACTATCAAATTTTCAGGGGCACCTGCTAGTAAAAAATAATCAGTGAAATCAAGAAAACATAAGGTTGATATATAAACAGTATTATTGGATTTATGTATTGTTGGTAATTTTACTATAAAAATGTATTGTTGGTAATTTTACTATAAAATATACCGTTGGTAATTTTTATAGAAAAATGTATTGTTGGTAATTTTTATAGAAAAATCTATTGTTGGTAAATTTTATAGAAAAATCTATTGATGGTAATCTTTATATAAAAATGTATTGATGGTAATTTTTATATAAAAATGTATTGTTGGTAATTTTTATATAAATATGTACCGTTGGTAATTTTTTATAAAACTGTATTGATGGTAATTTTTATATAAAACTGTATTGATGGTAATTTTTATATAAAACTGTATTGATGGTAATTTTTATATAAAACTGTATTGATGGTAATTTTTATAAAAAAAATGTATTGATAGTAATTTGTACATAAAAATGTATTGTTGGTAATTTTACTATAAATTCATTACTGAGAGAAAAAAATTACCTCCAAGGATGACCTTTAGTTTTGATCGATTATTTGTTGGGGTAAAAATTTCAAACAAAGTCTGGACAGCTTCGGATGTGATTTCAGCGCAGGCAGATAAGTCCAAGAATTTCAAATGATAGCAGTTTTTAAGAACAGCAGAGATCACTGAAAGGAGAAAATGGTAATTGCAAAAGGTGAAGGTGTGGGGGTTGTGACATGATTATTTGTTGAGGGGGGAAAAAAAAGACGTGAATGTTTGGTATGAGGGAGACAAAAAAGAAGAGGACGAATGTTTGGACGAGTTTTGATGAAAGGCATTTCTTTGTGAGAGAGGCCAAAGGAAGGAAGAAAGGCATGAACCAATTGTGAGAGAGGCCAAAGGAAGGGAGAAAGGCATGAACCTGTAGTATTGTGAATGGAAGGGAGAAAGGCATGAACCTTTTTGTGAGAACCAAAGGAAGGGAGAGAAAGGCATGAACCTGTGAAAGAGGCCAAAGGAAGGGAGAAAGGCATGAACCTGTAGTATTGTGAGAGAGGCCAAAGGAAGGGAGAAAGGCATGAACCTGTAGTATTGTGAGAGAGGCCAAAGGAAGGGAGAAAGGCATGAACCTGTATTGTAAGAGAGGCATGAACCTGTAGCTTAAGAGAGAGGGGAAGGGAGAAAGGCAAAACCTGTAGCATTGTGAGAGAGGCCAAAGGAAGGGAGAAAGGCAAACCTATGTGAGAGAGGCCAAAGGAAGGAGAAAGGCAAACCTGTAGATTGAGAGGCCAAAGGAAGGGAGAAAGGCATGAACCTGTAAATGTTTGAGAGGCCAAAGGAAGGAAGAAAGGCATGAACCTGTAGCATTGTGAGAGAAGCCAAAGGAAGGGAGAAAGGCATGAACCTGTAGCATTGTGAGAGAGGCCAAAGGAAGGGAGAAAGGCATGAACCTGTAGAGAGAGGCCAAAGGAAGGGAGAAAGGCATGAACCTGTAGCATTTGTTTAAAGGAAGGGAGAAAGGCATGAACCTGTAGCATTGTGAGAGAGCCCAAAGGAAGGGAGAAAGGCATGAACCTGTATGAGAGGCCAAAGGAAGGGAGAAAGGCATGAACCTGTAGCATTGTGAGAGAGGCCAAAGGAAGGGAGAAAGGCATGAACCTGTAGCATTGTGAGAGAGGCCAAAGGAAGGGAGGAAGGCATGAACCTGTAGCATTGTGAGAGAGGCCAAAAGGGAGGAAGGGAAAGTCCAATTTAAGAGGCCAAAGGAATTAAAAGGCATGAACCTATAAGAGAGGCCAAAGGAATGGAGAAAGGCATGAACCTGAACCCCAAATAAGGGAGAAAGGCATGAACCTGTAGCATTGTGAGAGAGGCCAAAGGAAGGGAGAAAGGCGTGAACCTGTAGCATTGTGAGAGAGGCCAAAGAAGGATTGATTGATTTGTTTAATGGCATATCAATTCCTTATGGGTCATTTAACGCCAAAATTTAATTTTCTTGGGAGCATTGAAGTAATAAAAAAATTATAGGGGACCAAATGGAATAAAGTCCAATTTAAAAATATTAAACAGAACCTATAAGATGCATAGACGAATGGCATTGGTAGGATTTGAACCCAAAATAAACCGAGTAAAATTTAGTAAATTCAGTACAACTGAATTTTCCCTCTTCCACCTTTCATACCCGAGGCTATTGCAGTAATAAGATTAGCCTATTTACCAAAATTCTACAAAATCCAGATGAATTTGGGAAATGTTTTTTAGAATTCTACCTAGCAGACTAGTATTGAATTATTTGCATTATTCTAACTTTTGTCCTCATCTTTGTCGCCATATTTATTACAATGTTTCGGCCGTTGTACACTCCAGCCTTCTTCAGGTGGTTGGAATGTCGAACTGAACCCCTTATTTCGCTCACTGGGGTAGACTATTCTCAAGGACACATGGGACATTGGATAAAGGCGTTGGTTAGATCCAGTGACAGGACCCAAAGAGTGTGAGTTCAATACCCGGCTAAGGCAGTGGAGAACTTTCTGAGGGAAAATTAACAGGAGATAACTGATAACTGACATCCATTAAACATGGCACGTGGAATTAGAACAGCGAGCGAAACAAGGGGTTCAGTTCAACATTCCAACCACCTGAAGAAGGCTGGAGCATTCCAATAGTCCGAATAATGTAAATAATGTACATAATACCTCATCTCAGAAATATAGACAGATACTGAAAGGCCAAACGTTGTAATAAATATGGCAACAAAGATGAGGACAATAATCGAATAATGTAAATAATGTACATAATACCTCATCTCAGAAATATAGACAGATACTGAAAGGCCGAAACGTTGTAATAAATATGGTGACAAAGATGAGGACAATAGTCCGAATAATGAAATAATGTAAAATAATCTCAGAAATATTGACAGATACTGAAAGGCGAAACATTGTAATAAATATGGCGACAAAGATGAGGACAATACCCTGAATAATGTAAATAATCTACATAATACCTCATCTCAGAAATATAGACAGATACCAGTATTGAATTCTTACGGAAATGTCTAGAATACTTTTCAGCATGTGTTACATGCAATGCTAAGTTCTTTGTTTAGGGATAATATCCATAAATATTATCTGCCAGGAGGAAGTGTCTATAAAAACCAAAGTACATGGTCACAAAGTTATTAGGTTAGGAATGTGCGCAGGGTTGGCCAGAAGACTACAGTTTGTCCAGAGTCTGCCTCAGGGTTCCAGAGGTGATCCAAAAGTTTATATAACTCCTCATTATAAGACGTTTTTTCGTCACTTTATCTTTTAGTTTTCTGGTCAGGCCAAAAGAGTTACCAACTCACAAACACATTTGTCTAACATAGAAGTCATCTCATTCTCGTTACCTCACGATCTTCTTTGGGTTAAATCCAACTAAAAGTGATTGTAACCTTTTCTGACAGTTGATGATATTAAATTGTTGATGACTGTCGCACCAGCATTTATTTTACTTCTCTGCTTATGATCTTTTGCCTTTCGAGTAAGCTTCCAGGAACCCAAAAACCATAGCTCAACAAATTGCACAAGAATGCTTCAAAGAGGTGTGTTTTGGTAGGTAGGTCCAAATATGCCTGTATGTTAGGGCCACTAGCTAATCCCTATTGCAGACGCCTGCTCAGGCATATTTGCACTTGTTCAACACCCACAGAGCCCACCTGCGGTTTATACTGCAACTCTTAGTTACAGTTTCTGGGGGAGAGAGCTTTATCTGGCATAATCAACAGTCTGAACAAAGCTAACACACTCAAACCCTCGGTCACAATGACTTTTGATTTTGTGCTAGCTCAACCATAGATGATTTCCCCAAATAGTTCTGTCTACCCAATTTCACTTGCAAGTCTTGTGTCAACCTGTAGTGCAGTTTTCAGGCACTTTCCAAAGGTGCTACATGCTGGGGTTGCCTCTAGAGGCCGATAACATCAAAAAGTCATCCTGCTGACTGACTGGTAAGATTCAAACCATAGTCTCATGGTTGGAAAGCAAATGTTCTAACGACTCAGCCACATGCTCATTTCTGTGGGTACACAACACATCAACACTAGACAACAGCAGATGAAAGACACGCTCTACCAGTAATATGTACAGTTAACATATGTGTATATTAAGAACATGTATATTAAGGACCGCAACCAAGTGAATTGGCACCTTTGTCATTGTCACCAAGTTGATGGATATATTTGGCACCACGACAAAATGGTGGTGCATAATTTCACACTCACAAATTCAAATTCTTTGAACAATGATTAAAAACAGCTTTGATGGAATGAAGCCTGTAGGTTTTAGCAGAGACGATCCTTTTTCAAAACACGTGAATTGGTGCTACAGAAAAACAAACAAAGAATCGTACCAAATAACAGAAACCAC